CGCCAATGAGAAGCCACTATCGGGTTACCGCCCCGATCGTCTTGACTCCAAGTTCGCACTGCCAGATAAACTTACCGTTGCTGAACGCAAGAAGCTGCTTCCATCTATCAGAAGAATCAACGCTTTGTTGGGGAACGGTTTAACCGGAGTCGATCTAACCCGCTGCTGGATCTCATGGCGGGTTATTCCATTAAGTCGTCGTTCAAAATTGATGTATGAATATGGTGGAGGCCCGGACGACTCTCTCCGTCATACCCCGGTTCAACTAACCGAGGAAGACATTGTCTCAATGTTAAACCTTCTGGTGAATGGGAAGTATGAAGATTGCAGTATTGTTAGGTTAAATCCCTTCTGTAAACTTAACCCGGTACCAGAAGTAAGGATATTCTGATCTTTTTTCCTTTGTATTTTGTCCAGCCGCATTGTTTATCACTGATCCTTCCTCTTGTCTTTGTAGGCCGATTCTGACTTTTGGAAAGTGAAATATGATCACGAAGCTGCCAAGAAGGCGAAACTCGCCACCATGAACGCCAAGAAATCGACCCGGAGATCGAAGAAGAAAAAGAAGACCACTGCTGAAGATTTAATGAAACTTGATGACACGTCTGACTCGGAGGTAGCCCTTGATTCCCTTGGCCAATTTTTTAACAATCTTATTGACACTGATCCTTACCAGGATGACATTGGGGCCAGTCAGGCCGGGGAAGCAGAGATAACTATCATTTCCTCCGACTCAGAGCCCTTACCAAGACACAAAGTTCGACGAGTGATCCGTAAAGTAAGGTTTTCTAACCCCTTAGCTCACTTGGATCCCAACTTTCATTTGAAAAAGCAGCAACATGAAAGCCACCGTGAAGTTGGGATTGAAGATGAACCGGCTGTCGTCCTTCAACAGACCTCTCGGAAACGCCCGAACGAGGTTTACTTATTGTTGTCTTTAACTCGTTTTAATGAATCCTGCTCCTTGTATTTCTTTTAACTCTTTTCTCTTATCCTTTCAGGAGGTGTCTCGTTCTTCAGGCGACTCATCACAAACACAATTTCCGGCTTTCAAGACTGCTCCTGGGTAATCAAAAATCCTTCTTTCTTCCGGGTTTGCTCAATTGTATCTTTATGCTGACAATCCTGCAATATTTTTCCTTAGTGGCCAGGCTAAATCCAAGAAGACGAAGGCGGCTAAACCGGCGGAAGACCCGCCAGTGCTAGCATCTGAACCGGCTAGGCCGCCTTCTCCATTGGCTAACGCTCCAGAACACCCGCCTATTGACAATGAGGCAAATCCTCCTGAGCCGACTTTTGACGAAGCCATTATGGATCCTTCTACAGCTAGACCGTCAAGCTCAACCGACCCGCCGTCTCCACCTGCTCAAGATGTTCAAATTACTGGGAGCCGCTTTGTTGAGCCGGGGAACCCAACGGCGCTGGCTCGGTGCACAGCAAAGCAAGAAGCATTGAAGAGGCAGAAGGTTTGCTTTGATGTTGCCAACTATGACCGTCTCAATGCCAGTGATATCTTATCCGGCTATCTCAGTCATGTACACTCCGGTCGTGAGTCTGAGATCGAGATGGTCAAGCAGCTTCAGTTGAAGTATGAGGTACGTTGTTTCCGGTTTACTAATATTCCTTCAGCCCCCAAGTCTTCAGATTATGAGAGAAACGAAATAACCTGTAGACTTAAAATATAGGCCGAGACTTTTACCTCTGAATCTTTGCCTGATATTGATAGAACAGAACTTCACCTATAGTCCCCAAGGACCGGTTCATTTTGATCATTAATGAATCGGTACTTTAGAATTTAAAACCGTCTTCAAAGTACTTAACACTCCGGCTTAACCTTGCTAAACTTGCTGAACTGCATACATTAGCCCCCAAGTGCCAAGTGTTGTTACTTTGTAAGGGACTTGGGACTTTAAATATATTTGTAGAGTCGTAAAAATTTGATTTGGCATACATTAGCCCCCAAGTGTCAAGTGGTTTATTCGTAAAGTACTTGAGACTTCAATCTTGAATTTGGATATTCGAATTTGAAACTAAGTCTTGACTTATCTGAACGTTTCATAGAATGCCTTGTCTGAATTGAACTCTCAATTGACTGACGCAAAGACCCGACTAGCGAGTCAGGAGTCAGAAATCAAATCGTCCACCTCCAAACTACAAATAAGCCTTTCTGCAACGGAAAATTTGAAGACCAGCTTTGCTGCCAAGGAGAAGACTTGGGAAAATGAGAAAACACTTCTGACCCGACGAGCTGAGACAGCCAAAACAGCTCTGAAAGAAATTTCAACAGAGCTGAACGGTTTAAAGGGGCGGGTGTCTCAGATGGTTGTTGCTATCTTTGGTAAGCTGCCTGATTTGACCTTTCGTATATTTTTTGCCAAACCGAAGTATAATCCGCCAACTGACTCTGTTAAAAATATATGCAGGTCCGCGAAGTAAGAATCTGAGCCAAGACCCGTTGATTAAGCTGAAGGCAGTATACACTTTAGTTGAACGATTGTATATCGGCGCACAACGGGCTCTGGCTGCCATCTCTCCTGCTAATCAAGAACCTAACCGGCTCAGCGACGTCCTGAAGAAGCTGTCCATCCTTCCTGCCAGGTTCCAAGAAGTAAAACGCTCCTGCGCGCGAGCCGGAGCTTTGACTGCCCTAAGCCAAACGAGCCGACGCTGCGATGAGGTTTTCCAGGGGGTTGAAGAAGTGACCCGGAGGTGTTGACACATAACGAGGAGGAGTTGTATTTACACGAGGTGGCTCCATGGCGCGTGGCTGAACTGGTGCATCGGGTGTTGTGACCCGGTTTGCCTCTGGCGGGTGGCTCCCCCCAGCCCCAGGTGTATGGAACAGGTTCCTTGGATCCAACGTTAGAGGCAGACGCGACTGAGTTTTCTGATGCCTCCTCCTCATGACCTCGTTTGATGCGTTAAGATTCACCGAGAGCCGGAAGTTTCTACTTGAAGTTGCTGAGCACGAGCGTCCAGAGCTGCTCGTTCTGCTGCCATCCGGGTTTCCTCCGTGGCTAGATTTTATTTAGCTTGCACCATCTCCTCCCGCACGCGTGCCACTTCTGCGTCGTGCTGAGCTTTATCCGCCGGCTCTACCGCAGCGGTTAACAGAGTCGTCAGCCGATCCATGAGGTCCATTAGAATCTGAGCTGGGGGGCGCGCGGGGTCTCCTGGCCCGGCTGCTGCCGACCCGGTAGCTGCTGCTGTCGATGCGGTAGAATTCTGCCCGGGCTGCGTCCCCGCCATGAAGACTCCGGCCCAATTCGGTGGCTCAAGGGGGTCCGAATACTGCTGCCATCGGAACAGCCCCCGGGCATGCCGTCTTGCAGCTGGTACAACGAGTCCGTCTCACTTGTTGATGATGCAGTATCAGAGCAGATGGCCGTCTCCCCGCCTTCCATCAGTCCTTCGGAGTATTCACCGCCATGGATGCAGCCTATGAAGACATGTTTCACGACAGATTGAACACGGGCGGTCCTGGCGCGCTGAGCCGTTTCGATGAGGTTGGCGTGGACATCCGGCTCAGGGCCTGACTCGCCAATCCGGCCGATGAAGACGTGAATTCCGCCGAAGGGGACCCAGTACCCGTACTCGATTGAGCCGGCCTCGAGGCCCCAGCCTTCATCGTCGATGTAGAGCTTGCCGCGACGACTCTTGGTCATCCGGCCCACAGTGTATCCCTTGAACCCTTCGAAGTTGCCCTTCAAGACCTCAAATCCACCGTGCGCTAGCCCCATAGTGGGCACCAACTGCCGTGGAGTTGACACGGCAGATGTCCTAGAGCAAAGACTTAGTCGCAGGGCCATCGCACTAGGAAGCTTAAAGGGGTTAATCGGGACAAGGGACACACAAGTTTTTATATTAGTTCGGCCCCTTACGATGAAGGTAAAAGCATACGTCTAGTTGGGATTGGTATTGCTGAAATTTTGATCTCCAAGGGGCTCAACTCGCCGGCTTGGTTATCGATTTGGTTGTTTCTTGCCCTAAGCCGCCACCGAGTCATCCCCTTATATACATGGGTTGACGCCTGATGGCCTACAGAGTCCCGGCCAGCTCATAACCGTGTCAAGCTCGGTGACTTCCTTTACATGACTTTCTTTATAAGTCTTTACTTACATACGGCGCTTTACAATATCGGGCCTTAAGCCGGCCCCAGGCCTTTGGGCCTTCTATATGTAACCCGCCATTAGGGTTGATCCGGCCCCTCCTGGGCGGGTCATAGTGGTAGTAATATCCCCAACACATTGTTAGTAGTGCAGGCCATGTGCCGCATAAACACACAAAATAGTTGGACCATGTACCAATAACGGCTGGGCCAGACATACAGTAGTACTATATGATGCAGAATCATCCAACTCTGAACGAGACAACAAAAACACTTGCATATCATATCCATTGTTCTGCAGTTTACAACGGTCCACTACATGGTAACAGAAAATGAAACATTAGTCACTCTTACCACAAGCTCTAACCCTGAGAAACATGACTTCTCCTGAGGAAAATGAGGGAACAAAATTTCAGAACATCAGTATTGTCGAATTTGACAAAAACTGACATCGGGCAACACCTATTGTGAACAAAAATTGTACAATACACTGAACTGGGTTATGACAAAAACAGGCGGTACAAAGGCAATGCTCAATGCTCGGACCTATATATAAATTTTACCGGGTGATTCATATCTGTTAGTGCTGCCCATACTTCTGATTGTGATACGGGACTCACAGAGCTGGAGATTAGTCGCTTATCAGAACTTGCCAGTGGATCCAACGGCACTAGAGCACATTGTGAGGCTACCAAAATGTCGCCTACTCACATGCTGCATCTGTTTGTGAAGCCAATTAGTTGCAATACCCTTCATCCGCGGTCAATTTCATGTGCATGTCCTGCATTAATATAGTGTTCCTCTACTGGCATTGGCAATATGTAATATCGCAGTGCATCAAAGCTCGGTGCCAAAAGGGTAAAAGTTGCTCACCCAATCACCATGACATTCTTTATGATGCTCGCGCCAAAAAATCATCTACGGCAAGAGATGCATCACCATGTGAAACAGCATTATCAGGCTCCGGCATGTATAGAGAAGCAGAAGAAACCTGTCAAGCATAAAGAAATAGCATAATGTTTCAAAGACCATAAGATACCACAAACACACTACATAAACCGAGTGCAAGGTTTACCTTTGTGTCTATCTGTAATTCTCCGCTATTTTCATCTACTGCAAGAACGGCACCATGTGCTTTTAACCATTCCTCACATTCTTCTAAACCATCAGCTACGTTAGCCTCACAAAGTACGTCAACTCTTGTGAATCCCAAAACTCGTGTAACATATCTCACAGGTACAGTTGGCCGATAAGATTTTGACATGCATTTTATTGCCTCAAAACGCATCCGCTCAACATAGAGGTCTGCAAAGCAAATAGCGTAAGTAGCCAAGCATCATCTTAACAGAAAAGTTAATATCAAAATTGACAAAAGAATGTCAAGTAAAAGAAATATCATCTTTACCCATAAGACATGAGTTCAAGCCAGGTGCCTTCTTGTATAATTTAAAGAACATGACATAGTTTCCAGATGAAACAGCAGAATGAACTGCAAGCGCATGCTTGACTGTTTCGTCTAGCCTGGCCTCCTTTGACAAGCTGAGGATAACAGATGCATCAAATATGGCTAGTGTAGCAACGGAATAACCATTTTGTATATGCACTTATTATTCAATATATATACCTTGCCATGGATGAAAGCAAGTCTCTTTTGTTATTAGAGTGTAACATGACACACAACAAGTTGTAAGCGGAGAACTCAAGATGACAGCCAGCGATTCCTTCACCGTATAACCTCGTCAGCTGTGATTGACACTGCCAAGTGTTGCAAAAAATAATAATTAAAGAGACTAGGCTGTTGATTTCGTTCTCTTTCAGGCAACTGGATCATCAATACAAATTACTATCAAGTAAGAATACAGCTACTGGTTTCAGAAGAAAGTAAAGACAATACCCTACATTACTATAACAAATTGCAAATAAGGCTATATGTTTTTGTAAAAGAACTCGCATCGGCTTAAATGGAAGCTAACGACGAGGGGAGGATTCCAAAGGAAATTTGCGCAAGGATTCCAAAGGAAATTTGCGCAAGGATTCCGAAGGATGTTCCACCAGGGAGGAGACTTAAAGTCCCCCCAGCCTCGTGCTGCTATTAAAAATATCATCATCAGTGACCCATTTTTTCTTCTTTATTCTATTCGGAAACTAGAACACGAAATAAGATTGCTTTACTTGTTTCAGCACTAAGATGAATCAGAACAAGTTAAGCAAACCTGATTATATTCGGACAAATCTCCAGCTTGAAGTGCTAAGCGTGCATGAGTTTCATAAACCTGAAACAGGAATGAAACAATTAATACAGAAGGAAAAAATAAATAGTTTTGGACAAAGCAGATTGATGCCCCCATGAAAAACAGTGTAATACTCCCTCCGTTCCTAAATACTTGTCTTTCTAGGCATTTCAACAAGTGACTACATACGGAGCAAAATGAGTGAATCTACACTCTAAAATATGTCTACATACATCCGTATGTAGTAGTCATTTGAAATGTCTAGAAAGACAAATATTTAGGAACGGAGGGAGTACATCTGAAGATTGATACTAAAATGCAGTATACCACAATGAGAGGTTATTATCAAGGAATACCTTGACAGTCAGCTCGTTCTGAATCCTCTGAACAGTAAGGTCTTGCCTGATAGATTTCAATTGATCACATTTATAGAGGTAATTCTTTTCAGATGTTTCAACCATGTGAAGAGCTTTCTCTAAGACATCTTCTGGCCTTACCTGCAAAAGATGTGATGAGAAAGCTAAAGCAAGAAAACAGCAACAAGGCATAATTTATCTCTAAATTTAATTTTTGTATCAACAATATGTTTTCCAAGCCTACAGTGTACAAAAAAAATAGCAAAGCATCCTTACAGTGGCTGGATCAGGTGCGGATGTAAGGCGTAGATATCGTTTCTCAATTTCCTGACATGTTCCCTTAATTGTAAGTGCATCCCAGTCGATGTCCTCCACCGCCAAGCTAGCACCATCTCCATTACTTCTATTGTTAAGCATTGAAATGGCTCCCCTTGTGTATACATTGGCTGCTCCATCCTTATATGGTATGGAACTCGTAGATTTTGATGATGCACCCTGACCACGTTCAAATCGCTTAGATCTATGCTCTCGTCGCTTCTTCTCCTCCGGTGAATTTGTTAGTGCAATTGAACTGGCATAATATTTCGTAAGATCCTGCTCCTTATCACTGTCACTAGAAGCATTCCCGTTTTTTGTTAGATTCGCATTACCACCAATCCGCTGCTTTTTAGAGGGCCTCTGATTCCATTGGCTTGTAGGAGGCTGACGCGACTGGACAAAGTTTCCAAGATTCCAAGTGTTACCCTGTGACATATAAAACCAATTATTTGCCCAAGAAGAGAATTTGAGTAAACAAAACAAACCTAGGGAGATGGTCGTATTCAAGTTAAAAATTTCCAGAATGAAAGGCATATATGTAATGTTAACCCATCTGAGGGCTTACCGTTCTTCTAGTATTTTCCCAAGTAGTGCAGGCATTACTTTTTGCTGGCTCTTTCGAAACAACCTCCACCTTGTTAGTTACTTTTTCCTCTGCAACAGGCTCCCACCTACTCTTCGTACGTCTACTCGGGCTCCTCCTAGATGTTGAAAAGGAGAAGGGACTTGAATCCTTTGCGTTGCTGCCAAAGGATTAAAAAAACAAGACTAGTTAACCGATTGGCCCTCTAAGGGGGAGGGTCAGCTTTACTACCATAATCTTAAGTCCTCCCTACGCTCGGGGCGGGCGTTTCTCAGGGAAGCATAAGTGTCTTTTATAATGAAAGCTGAAGTCTTCCCCACAATCTTTTTCCGTATGCCAGTTCCAGGAAGAAGTTAAGCCCTCCCAAGACCAATATAACAGACTATAAAGAATCCACTGAACCAACCCCGAAAAGTGGCAATGCTTTTCTTTGGGTACCCAATTATACACCTGAGCTGCTTAAGATTGGCAAATAGCCCGTACACTCTGTTATCACGTTGAATTTGCAATCCAAAGTCATGTAAGTTATATTATTTCTCCACTTGTTTCTACTTATATTTGCGACAGTCCCTAGGAAGGGGAGCCTTGGCGCAGCGGTAAAGTTGTTGCCTTGTGACCACGAGGTCACGGGTTCGAGTCCTGGAAACAGCCTCTTGCAGAAATGTAGGGAAAGGCTGCGTACTATAGACCCAAAGTGGTCGGACCCTTCCCCGGACCCTGCACAAGCGGGAGCTACTTGCACCGGGCTTCCCTTTAATTATTGCCCGTGATGCTGGTAGAGTTATTTCCGTTGTTGGTTTTCACCAAACTTTTAGGTTTAAATGTTAAGGAAAAATGTGGCATCCCATTCATGCCGAACAAAGAGTTGGTTTTCACCAAGTTTTTAGTTTAGTGTTGAGGGAAAATGTGGAATTCAAATTCAAACTCCGTCCATGCTGGACAAAGCAAAGCACCTTGCCCTTTTTACATAAAAAGAATGATGGTCATTGGCATACGATTGCTGGTTAGTGCAGTATCGCCCCATACAGGAAAAGGTTACCTTGTCATATTTGTGCCTTTAGCATTTTCTGGCAAAGCTAATAACGGCTCAATGTCCCAATTCTTAGTATGAAGGGTCCCATCAGCAGTTGCCTTGGTGATCATCTGATATTATAGGAAGAGAAAAATGTGAAAGTTAACAACCTCTTATTAAACTTACAAGGATATGGAAGGAAAATACAAGTTAATAAGGAACAACCAAAAGAAACTGAAGTTCTATTTTGTAAATTTTATTAAACATCCCATGAACCAAGGTCTCAGGAAAGCAGAAGCAAAGACAGTGATAAAAAGAAGAACAAAAATGGATTACTGAACCTCCTTCATGATGCTTTGGGTGGCAGATCTCTGGGCATCATCCTTGCAACGGGAAAGATTCCGCTCGACATAAGTACAAAGTGAAACAGGGAATGATCCCTGGACAGCACAAAAATAATATAAAATAGAATGATGGTTAGTGGAAAGTTGTCAAGAATGGTATGAACACCGATATACAATACTAACAAACATAGGTGTGCTATTTTATCGAAGTCTTAACTTGAAAGGTTTGAATCTAGGCACTTCTATTGGGGTCTGGGCTCTGGACTGTAGTGTACAAATCCTACTTCAATAATTGTACTGGTCTGCGCTAGCATTTCAGTTTTACCATGTTCACATTTCCACGGGGGGTTGGTTCATGTGCCTGGAGGAGTAAGGACTCCATTGGCTTAGCTGTATAATTATACCACCATCGGACATCGATGCTCAACAAAAAGAACGGGGTAACTAGAATATATAGTCTCACCTGAACGGCAGCTCCATGACCATCTTGAGCTGCATTCATGTCAGTCTTGGGCATGGAAACACCAACATAAGCAGGTTTTAGCGATGAATCAGCTTCTAATTTCTTCCCGGTTTGGGGCATTGACATTGGGAAACCTGGAGCTATTCGAGGATTTGTCGGGATGTGTACTTTATTTACACTGGCAACTGTTTTCGCAAAACCCTGCAAAGTTGGTTGAGAGTTTTCATTAACATGATTGACTGAATAAACATTTGAGCTTGGACCTTGCGCATGCAAAGCTTTCTGTTGATCTCGTTGGTTACTTAATGGTAACTGGCTATGACTTGTAGAGTTTTGTTGGTAAGCTGGTGCCTGGTTGATATAATGGTTCTGAAACCCTGAGACGGCAGCTGTCTTGTTAGCATAGGGGTTTTCATAACCTGGGTTGCCTGGTGCCTGGTTCAAGTGCTGGCTTTGAAACCCTGGTGTGACTGGTGCCGGATTGACATGCTGGCTTTGAAATCCTGGAGTGTCTGGTGACAGGTTGACATACTGGCTTTGAAATCCTTGCACGCCTGGTGCCGGGTTGACGTGTTGGCTTTGAAACCCTGGGGCGCCTGGTGCCTGGTTGACGTGCTGGCTTTGAAACCCTGGGGCGCCTGGTGCCTGGTTGACATGCTGGCTCTGAAACCCTGGGGCACCTGGTGCCTGGTTGACGTGCTGGCTTTGAAACCCTGTGATTCCCACCGCCTGTCCACAAAAATTGCTAGTCAAAACATGGTAAAGGCATGCTATTGCATAAGAAATACATGAAAAACTGTCCTTCCAAAAGAAGAGTTCTCATCATGATCATCGATGCACATAAAATTTAACACATGCAACAAAACCGTCAAATGAAAGACGTATCACAGGTTCCGGTAATCTTTTATGGCGTATAGAAGTAATGTCGCATCATTTGTCACCCAATGCAAGGTTTCAAGTAACTAGAAAGCAGTAAGTAGCTTCACTGTCACCCAATGCAAGGTTTCAAGTAACTAGAAAGCAGTAAGTAGCTTCACTGTTACATACTCTCTCTGTTGCAAATTAATTGAAGCTCTAGCTTTGTCCTAAGTAAAACTTCTCTATGTTTGACCAAGTCTATAGAAAAATATGCTCATATCTACAAAATGAAATATATGTAGTATAGAAATATATCAACCATACTTCCATAGGCAGTTGCACAAAGCTATGTTTAGAAAAAACATTACCCATGACAAGCTACATGGCCATTCCAGAGTTGCACACAAAAGTAATGCAAAATGTGGTCAAATCCATAAATTCTTCAAAATAAGAAAGCAGAACTGATAATAATACCTGGGGAGGTGCAGTAGGTGCAACAGCATCATTTTTCCGTTGGGTAGTACCCGGTGGAGGCGGCTGGGTGCTCGGATATGTATAACCAGAACCGGCACTAGGAGATTTTGTATCAGAAGCACTGTTGCCAGCAACTGCTAAAGCACCGGAGTTTGGTGCAGACTGGTCATAATAATTAGACCACTGGTTGTACTGTTGAGGATAGTGGAAAGAAGTGGTGGGCAGAGAACAAGAACTCTGGGCAGCATTAGTATCTGATGGAGCATAAGTCTGATATGTTTGGGCGTGAACATCTCCAGAACTTCCTCCAGACCAGGCCTGGTTTTGATAATAATAGTTGTTGGTGGCATATGCTTGCGCAGTCTGATCAGCACCAGCATTATAATATGTGTTACTTGTAGGACCAACGTAAGATCCTGAATTCGGAAATGAAGTAAGAGGCTGATATGCAGCACCTGAACTTTGATCTACTCCTTGGTGAAGAGAAGAATCGTTTGCAGGTTGTGGATAGTTATGGTAATAGTTTGGATATTGTGCAGCATTGTAGGCAGGTTGAACAGAATTTGAGTAAGGTGCATAAGTATTGGTTGCATTAGTTGTGCCCACAGCCGGTTGAGTCACATGAGGTGCACCATTTGTCACATTTTGAGTAGCCCCTGAAACTGAGACATCCCTTTGTGGATCGTAATAAACTGCATTTTGGTTTGTATTATCCACTGAATAGTTCCAGGAAGCCCCACTTGAAGAAGACCACGCATGATGACCCGATGCTGAAGGTTGGTACTGAGATGAACTTGTCTGCTCTACACTCCAGCCCTGTCATTAAGTGAGACCAAACATATTGTCAGCTCATAATTATGGATCATGAGCAAAACATGTATCACCAACCTACAATCACTGTTCTAAAAGGTGAAGGCTACACACTAGGCACCACTGTTCCACCTAGCTGACACCTACCAGACATCAAATCATATTAGGTTATAGGCAGCAGCGATTTTGAAAAAACAGAAGAAACTAGTAAGGAATCTGTACGTTGCTAAGAACTAGTAAGGAGTATATACTATTCCCTCTGTTCACAAATATAAGATGTTTTGGATATTTCAATATGGACTACATACGGACTGAAATGGGTGAACAAACACACTAAAACATGTCTATATACATCCGATTCAGGAAAAAGTTAGAATATCTCATATTTGTGAACGGCGGGAGTACAAGTTTACAAGACTAATTATTTAATTGAATCGGGATGTTGCTTGGTTTGCCCATGAACTTCAAGGAAGAATAGGGTGTTTTTGCAAAAGAGATTTCAGTGGGCACCACTGGGCGGTGAGCAATATAAAGCTCAAGCTCAGCCATCAATAGCAGATCGGACAGTTGGCATATGATCCCAAGGTGAGCGGACCATTACTGCCAGGTTTCTTTACTGGGGTGAAGATATTATTTAATCCAGTGGTAGAAGTCTGGAAGGAACCATAAAGTCATTAGCCATTTGCCAGGGTAGCAAGTGATCCTCATCAATAATGCATGACCATGTGAAAGAAAATGGTATTATATCCTTATTCATATTTCAACAGACAAGTGCATGTTATACAACAAAGCCCAATGTATTTATAGGATGCACCTTTTTGCATATGTAAGGCAGAATTCCCTGCTAATGTGGCAATTTTTATGAAAAATATGCACAGAGAGAGAGATCTAAATGGCTGATGTAACAAAGCAAATGAGTAATTCCTCGCAAAAAAGTGAGTAATGGCATCAATGAGGCACTCCACATCAATTACTTAGTACACAGAAATAACAAAACAATAGCATTAACTGGCTGCAAATTGCAGTTCGAGCAACACTGCTTAACAACTACTGCAGCACAAGTGTTCAGAGACTTTGCTATTTACAAGCTGCACTTTTTTTCCTCGAGTCCATTTTGTAGCAATCATGTTTGCATGGAGACTGATGTGACACTAACCATATGATTGGATGTTGATGCAATGGATAATAATAATTAAAATGTGACTTAAGATTAAGAAAAATTCAGTTGCTTTACAAATGGACAACCCAAATGTTAAAATCTTCACAGCCAAAGCCATGACCTCATGCCACACAAAATACATGCCTTGAGGCCGTTGAGGGTATCCTATAATCCAAGCCCATGTGGTCACCTATGTCGCCTTGATACTTCATCAAGTTGGCATGCGGGTATAAGATGCAGTACTCAATACTGATGGAGGAAATGACTAGAGTACGCGGCAAATAGGGAAGGGGGAACCTGTGCGAGCGAGTGGGGCAGGGTTTTTTTCTTTTTGCTGCATTCTATATACCACTGCATACTTACTGTGTATGTGTTGTAGACAGCTATAGAGAAGGGAGTTTGTAAGAAGAGTTTGTGTCAAACTAGGAGTTTTATCTTAGTGTATCCATCCTAGCATTAGGTACTCCCTCTGTCCCTACATGGCGCACACATATCTCGAGGTTCAACTTTGACCATCAATTAGACCCTGAAAACGTGTGTTATGTGTCACAAAAATTGTAGTACCATCCAATTCATACTAAAGAGTGGTTTCAAACAGTATATTTTTTATGACATATTCTCAAATGTCTATATAAGGGATGTATCCCTATTGTAAGGAGGCAAGCAAAAACATCAGTCTGTTGTCTCTAGTAATTCTCTCTTCACAACCTATGTCTACCCAAACCCTAGCATCCCTGCGGAGCTTTTTGTTACGGTATCTCTGGAACATGAGCCAAGGATCTTACTCTCAAGGGTGCATCGATAGGCTCCATTCTCTCCCTTGAATAAGTCAGGCTCCGTTAGCCTGGGCTGAGATGGGGATAACGAGTCAACAATTGAAGCTCCCAACTTTCTGCCAGACACTGGACAGGGGTACGCTCTGTAAATGTGTAGAGACAAGTGTAGTTTGGTATATAGTAGGCACTTCTAGGCCCCTTCCCGGCTACTGGATCACTCCAGTGCTTCGGGGCCGTCTGGTTATCTTCAGAACAGTAATTATCCCCTTGTAAATCTAGGTTTACATGGACATCCCCATCATTGATTGGAGAATGGGACCCTATTGTCATCCCTACTCACTCCCTCTCAATACCACTTCTTGGAGTCTAGACGCCACCTCGTTCTCAGTCTATTGTGGTATCCATTGATTTTATATTTCCAAATGTACATACCAGCATACCATTAATTCTCACATCCTGGTTGTGGAAATTTTTGAATCACTGGATCCAAATCACCATCCATATCAGGGCAACTAGATGGACACAGCTCAGGGTTTCATCAATAGATCACTGATCTTAGCAATCAATACCAGTTAGCAAGTTACAAATACTCCTTGACATAGGTAATAACAACACAGGCTCTCAGATACCTATAGCATATTGATAAGACAACGGATGAGAGGTTTCATCCTTAGCTCTTTGAGCCTATCTTCCAGCATTGTGGATACATGTAAGCGTTGCGGGTCTGCGGCCACAACACGCTACAGCCGCAACAAATCTAGGAACTGCGACAAGGTAAGAAAAAGGCAAACCTGCTTCGAAGATTCAAAACAGGTTTTCAGATTGTCAGGCTTGAGGACCATTCTTATTGAGGGGGGGATTACATAACGGTGCAGTTTGAGTTCTATTTGGAATTCTAACCTTTTCAGTTTTGAGTCTACCATCTGTAACTGTAAGGTAGACCATCTAGATAATGAAACATACACAAGTCACATCAATCAAACCTTCTATTTGCTCCAGAACGCTAGCCTCCTCCAGTACTCCCAGCACCTATGGTTTCAGCCCTAGCCCTAGCGTGTGCCCCACGGCACCCAAGTGCCAAGTTCCTGACCCTAGCGTGTGCCCCACGGCACCCAAGTGCCAAGTTCCTGACCCTAGCCTAATCCTGCTCCACTGCCTGCTCCGAGAGGTGAAGTACTAACATCCAGGTAATACCCATTTACAAGCTACCACTAGTGCCGGATACACCAGTTACAACAAAAAATGGTCACCATACATTTCCAGGAAGCAGTACATTCAAAACATTACATCCGCCATGACAGCTCCAGTTAGAGATATTCGCTTGCCATGCAAGAACACAAGCAATTATAGGCAATTCATCAAACATGAGCATCCAAGTTGAGAGCCAATACTAAGCCCCCCAAGGATTGACACCCTGAGTACTTCACGACTTAACTTACACATACTACCACATTGACTAACTACCAGGAGGGCTAAATCACAAGAAAGGTATATCATCTATAGGTGAATGAGCAAAGGAACAGAAACAAAATACACTACATCAGCTAATTCATCAGTTGTCACGCTGGTCATAATTCCTACACTTCTGAGGCAGTAAATTAGCAAACATTAGATATCAAATAGAAGCTCCAGCAGCTAGAACAAACTATCCACGTGCCTCGGTTGGACCTAACTATCCCACAGCAAAGCAAAGAAGCGGACGCTATATAATAGTGCGAATCGACTAGCATCCTAGCCGACTGAGTAACCAATCTGCATCTCAGTTCTCAAGCCATAACGGAAACAGAACGAATCGCGTGCAAGCCCGGGAAAGGTTAAAACAGGGCGGAAGCAAAGGCCTGGCAAGCTCGGGATTGCTGAGAGACGAGGAGCGGCGCAAGCATACCTCGTTGGGCTTGGGGTCGGATCCGGCAGCCGCCTCGCCTCCCTGAGCCGCCATCCCCCGGCGCCCCGGAGCCCGGGAGCTCGGCTGAAACCCTAGCTACTCGCAGCAGAGAGCAGAGCCGCCCGATTTCGCCGGTGGTACGGACGGATAGAGCCGGATCGAAAGGACGCGCGCGCCAAGCGAAAATGAGGCACGCGAGGAACGGGAGGCGTGTGGGGGGGCGGCGAGGGGCGATTGGCCGAGGAGACACCGGGGAGAGTCTTCTGGCCCGGCGGTGGCTTGGTGGAGAGGAGTGTGGGAGGCGGCGGAGTGGATTGGTGTCTGTGAGCGGGCGAGTGCTGCGGGAGGGGGGGAGAGGAGAGGGGGTCGGCGATGAATCGGGAGGGGGAAGCGCCGACGACGGCGAGGGACAGCGAAGAAACTTGTGGGTGGGTGGGCTTCGGCCCTCGGCTTTATTAGGGGCCGTGGGTCGTGGGTTTGGTGTGGTGTGGTAGGTGGGCAATGAATATGGGCCTGGACCCGGACCGGTTCCGTCAGACGGCCCGCGAAACAGAATATATGGATAGCCAAATATACGAACCATTTCTTTTAAAATACTTCCACTATTGTCTCAAAAAAAAACTTCCACTAAACTGCTCAAAAAAATACTTCCACTAAAAAAATATTTAAAAATACTGAACATTTAAATTCTTGTGCATTTTTTAAAAATTAAGACCATTTTTCATGGATATTCCAAAAACACTGGTACACACCTTTTTGATTCGTTTTTTTAAGGAGCCATAACTCTTTTTTCAACTAGTAGGAAATTAGGAATCCCACGGGAACATCAACGCATCGCTAGGAACCTCAAACTGAAAGGCTTCCAAATCGCTCCACTACTTCTGCCGTCCGTTTGATTTGGAAGGCCGTCTCCTGAGTCCCAACAAATTAAACGCATAGAGCAGCACGATGGCAATGTCGATTGCCAATCAGTACTGGAGCAAGCACAAGTAGGCTGTTCAAAAAGGGCAGAAAATTCAACGAAACTGACTTTGGGAGGGGCTGACAAGCAAGAGGCGCAAAGTTGTGGCCATATTACACCGACAAATTAAGGTCTGCACAGAGACGCAGGCAGGACAGAACCAGGTTACCAGCGAAGAGGACCAAAAAATTAGATGAAAAGGATAACCGTTCTGCAGTGCATCCCAAACGGACTATCGGAAAAAAGAAGGGAAATTACAACGCACGATGAGAACCTATAGGCTCAGCGACATCATCTTGACACATGAAGGTTTGCAGAAAATATTCACACAATTAGTTGCGGGATCTGCAGAAGACAGCCACGAATCAACAGACAAACAGCTGCAGAAAAGAAATACAAGACGGACAGAAAACAATTGCATCACAGGATTTGCAACAAGCTAAATGCGGTAGCACAAAGAGTTGTAAAACAGAATAGCATCGTCATTAGCATAATTCATAACTAGAGAACAATTCGTTAACTGAATCATATAACTCGGCGAACACAGTATTTGCCCATCAGGTTCAGAACACGGAAGCAAACTACTAAGCATAGGATACTACTAGTACTAAGCATGGAAGGCACAGAACCCAAATCAACTACAGCTTTCTCTCCTCCTTCGATTTCTTGACCGCGAGCCAGGGCTTGTGCGCCAGGGCCAGCCAGCGCCGCGGCTCTTCAGCCGCCGAAGCCGTACAGGGTGCGGCCCTGGCGCTTGAGCGCGTAGACGACGTCCATGGCGGTGACGGTCTTGCGGCGGGCGTGCTCGGTGTAGGTGACGGCGTCGCGGATGACGTTCTCGAGGAAGATCTTGAGCACGCCGCGGGTCTCCTCGTAGATGAGCCCCGAGATGCGCTTCACGCCGCCCCTCCGGGCCAGCCTCCGGATCGCCGGCTTGGTGATGCCCTGGATGTTGTCGCGCAGGACCTTGCGGTGGCGCTTCGCGCCGCCCTTGCCGAGCCCCTTGCCGCCCTTGCCGCGCCCCGACATGGCTGCCTGCTCCGAGTAGCTTGGGAAGAGAGGGGATTTGGGGATTTTGGTGGGTGGAGGCGGTGAGTGAGATGAGAAGGGGGAAGGGGTGGTATATAAAGGGTGAGCGGGGGTTCTGGAGGCGGCTGGAGCCGTTCGATGGAGAGGAGATGAACGGCTGCGGCTGCTTTTCCCGAAGATGCCGCGGATCGTGCCGTGGACAGGGCGCGGATCGGTGACGTGGCAGGGGGGGGCGATTTTTTATATTTTTGGGCGCCCAGTTTGCATAGTGGGATGAAAATGAAGCGGGATTTGCATAGTGTGGTTGTTTGGGTCGAGAGTATTAGCGCTGGGTTTTAGGAAAACAAGTTTAAAAGCAGATTTTTTTTGCTAAACGGGTACTAATAGTTTTTCTCTACACAATCAGTTTAAGGGAAACTTTGTTTGGGTCAAGAAAGCGTGAAACCGGTCTATATATTTCCTTGTTTGGAGACCTATTGACCAATCTTAGAGCATCTCCAATAGACGGTCCATATATAAAAATAACTAACTTTTAAAGCTTCGAGAGCAAAATGTGTTGCTTCAATAGACGGTCTATATGTTAAAAAATGGACCATCGCCTCCCGGAGATGTAAAATTGAAAACTTCGTGATGCAAATTTACATCACGAGAGACAAGTGATGTAAAACCACGGCTGCCCGCGAAACGACCAACCGCCAATT